ATGAGTGAACTAAAATTTCATGAACCATTTTTTTATAGGTTTTTCATGATCCTCTTTCTAATGGTATGAGAGTTGGGTTTTGAAAAAGTTTTCTGAGGAGTTTTCCAGAGATCCGGTCTCTTGAAAACCATTCAGAAAACTTTCTCAATATTTAAAAACGATGCCACTGGAAAGAGCATTGTTGAAAACCTATAAGAAACATGTTTCGAGTCGTTCAGGTTCTTTACCTTGAAATTCAGATGTTCAGCACGAAATTGTTTGTGTGAATCTCCAAAACTAAGAAATTTCTAGAATTCAAAATCGAGCGACCGAAACTAGATGAGTTATACACCATTTAATGCAGTTTTTCACGGTGATTCCGAATATGACCTTACTTCAAGAAAAAGTGCTTTTTTGAGGGAGAAAACTGCGAAATACTCGAAAATCGCCAGGGTTTTCGAAAAGCCTGTAACTGAGCACCCCTAGAGCTGCGAGAGTTTGTGAGATCTGTATGTGTAGAGGAGGTTGAGACGAACATTTTGAACTATTTTTCATATCAATAGCTGCTCAGTGGAGTTTAGCGATTGCGTTTTTATGAGGACGTCTTTTTTTATACCAGTTCCGTGGAAAGATCTTCGCGCGTTCCCCGAAATTTAACTTTGTCCGACAAAAATTTTCTTACGGCTAGATAGCCCAACAGATGGCGATTCTATATATGTCATTGTTTTTGAAAAAAACGTATAATTTGACGGAGAAAATGCAATTTTACATACTAATGCAACAGCATACTAATTCTACCGATAATTTTGTAATTTAATTTTCTCAACTTTGGAAGAAGCTAGAGCCAGAATTTTTCACCATTAAATAGGGCATTATTTATAGTATATATGTCATCATTCAAAATATAAAAATTCGAACCTGCGATTTTTCACCAAAATGCCGCCTAAATGCCCACTGTGCACCCTTCAGAACTCGACTTGCGGGACAAAATAGCAGACCAGGTGGTCTTCTATTTTGGTGGGAGAGGTAGTTCTCAAGTGCCTGATCAAAGACCAATCTGAAGTAAAAGAAAAAATCATCAGCGTGGAAAAACTTTTCAAAAGCGTGGCTCGACTAGTTTTAATGGAAAAATATTGCAGTATGATACCTTCGCAAAAATCACAGCACCGCTCAATAATATTTTGAAAACTAACTCTTATGGAACACAGACAGTTTTGCGTCCTGTACAAAAGCACTGATTACGAAAAGTTTTCTGAATTTGTTTCCTCGTTCTCTGAAGATCCAGCTTTCGGAAAACCTATCAGCACAAGCCTGAGGGCAACTCCGATGTTCATATTCAGAATCAGCGTCCTCAATTACATATGGTGCAAATAATTTCATCGAAAACGCGATTTGCAACTTGGGACTCTTTCTTTGTCAGTCTTTTCCCTTAATTCGAAAACTATAGGGTTAGATAAAGTACAATAAAGTACATGAAGGTAACCTAGAATCTTAAAAGAGTAGTGCAGAGCGTTTAGCTCGTACAAATTGTATCTTGTTTCAAGCTTCACTTTAGTTTTTCCAAACTGGCTACTTCAATCTTGTGTTTAATTCGCGCGTTATTGGGATGAGTAGCTGGAAGTGCTGTCTGATAAATTTTTTCCGCATGCTGATAGTTTTCTAATGCTAGTTCATTCTGACCAATATTTCCACAGGTTTCACCGATATTTTCGTACGTTGAACCGATTAAAACATGATTAACCGGTAGCGCCTGCAATCGTATTTTCAGTGCTTGTTGATGGTGTTCCAAAGCTTTATCATATTCTTGCTTGTCACCATAGACATTTCCAATATTATTCAATGTTGCTGCAATATTTAGATGCGATTGAGGTAATAATTTCCTTTCAATTTCTAAACATGCATAATGGTTCTCTAGTGCTAAATCATATTGATTTTGTCTCCAATAGACATTACCCAGATTACCATAAACATTTGCTGCAGGAAGCGTGTCATAATCAGTAGTTTTAAGTGATTTATGGTAGTTCTCAAGTGCCTGATCAAAATCTTGTAATTGTTCATATATAACACCAATCCAATTATAACTACTTGCAATCAAAGATTGATCACTTGAAGACGACCTTTTCAATTCCAGTTGAAGTACTTTTCTAAAATACTCTAATGCTTTATTAAATTGACCTTTTTCAATATTAACATTACCCAAATTATGCAGACATCGTGCAATATTTGGATCATCTTGAGACAATGAGTTTAATAAACGTTGAAGATATTGCTCAGCCTTGTCATAATCACCCATTTGACATAAGATGTTCCCAAGTGATAGTATAGTGGTTTCATCTGGGATATCTTGTTTCATTGACATGAAAACGTCTTTTAACTGATTATCTTGTTCACTACACAAGACTAATTTTATATTCCAAACATGATCATCTAATATCACATCTGTTATACGAAACATAGAGCCAAGCATAAATAATACCTCTTCTTCTCTTGAACCATAGTAGCTTACATGTGTGATATCAGCAAACGGCTTTGCGTCTTTTAAACGTGTATCAGCTTCAATTTCAAACAGAACCGATCGTTTCGTTTCATCACTAACAGAGATACACTGAGCAAAACTCAAGGCAGTTTTTCGATTTTTGCTTGTCGAAAGAAAACTGTTCATTGAAACAATTTGTTGTTGACTTGATTTCATATGTTCAAGTTCGTCAACCGACATTGCTTGCCCTCGATAGACGTGTATTAGAGATTCTGTAAAACGTTTCTGCTCTAATAATAATTGCTGATGTAGATCATGAATAAAAAATCGCAATGTATATAGCATATTGATATCTTGTTGACGAAGAGCTTTATTTAATAAACGATATAAAAATGATTCTCTTGTGTACCACCATAACGATCGAGATGATTCATATTCTGTTGTTAGCTCGTCGAGAATTTTCAATTCACTTTTATTATCTTGATATTGTTCTTTACATAGTTTAACTAGTTCCGCCTTGGATGAATCAATGTCTTCAGTTTTCATTCTCAACAAAGCTTCAATACATAACTGAAACCACATAAAATCGCCATTTTCGGATGAAAGATTTTTGTGTGTTTGCTGTACATTTGGATTAAAGAAATTTACGGGTAATATGATTGAGTCTTGTATTTGTTCACGTTTTCTTTGATCTTTGGATATAGCTGCCACTAAATCATCTGATTTCATTGGTACACCTCTTATCTAAATGAACATACTGTTGTTATTTTTTGATAAAGGCAGAAAGACTATTTGTTTACCTTGTTATATCCTTCTATCCATTGTTGTTCGTTCTTTTCTCGGTCCTTGGAATAAACATAAATGGAATTGACTTGTTTCAAAGCGTGTATGCGTGGCACTAGGGTTTTACCGATAGCATCCGAGACAATCAAGATAATTTCTTCTGATTCTGGTGTATTCTGAACAATATATCCTTCACATTCTTCAATGTTATCGAATGTTTTTAGAAAATTAATTGAACGACGCAGTTCCATTTGAGTTTGACGATATTCGGCAATTCTGTCAACATCGCTATCGCACCATACAAGAGAAAATACTTCAAGATTTTCTATCTCTAAGTTTTGATCTGAACTTTTTATTGATTCTGATAGCTGCACTGGTTCGTTTATTCCATGTGGCAATTCTGCTTCTGACATTTGGATAGATTGAGTTTCATGAACTGTTTCTAATGTAGATGGTTTTGATTTTATGCGAGGATAAATGAGTTTTGGTTTGTCTCTTGTATGAGTCTCTTGTACAGCTTTAGTACAACTTGCCCCCATATTTATTGATTTAACTAATCGAAAAAAAAAAAAACTAAAAAAGTGTATCGTGATAGTAAAAAATGTGAATCGAATTCACATGATGAGATTTAGGCTTCAAAAATAAAACTTGTATTTTATCCAAGGTTTTTGCTCAAATGTCGTATAGTTCGTCGTAATGTGTTTCCTGTGTTTATTCACAACAAAAAGAAAGATTAATATGTGTTAGAAGGCACGTAACTTGTTTGTATAGTCACCGATTTATTTCAATGATGTTTACATAGAACGAAAAAAAATCAACTAATTTTTTAATTTAAAGAAGAGAAAGAAAATGAAAATATAATTTTACAAGGTATTTTATTAAAAACTATGACAGAACTACGAAAAATAGTCATTTTCTTTTCTTTTCTATTTTGTTTTGTTATTCATATTATAAATAGTGTGTGTACACGTTAAAACATGTGCTATCAACTATGTTTGATATGTATCTAAATGTTGTAGGCAAACTTAAAATTCACTCAAATTTAAAATCTGCCTAGGCAAAATTAAAATTCTAATTTTGACTAGGCAAATTTAAAATTTGACTGAAAGATCTCTAGACAAAATGAAATTCTAATTCTGACTAAAATGATCAGGCAAAATTAGAATTTTGACATTATTTTCATGTAATGTCGGATTTAATCTCAACTAGCATTGTGCGTCTAAGACATCTTAGCATAAAGTGAACAATAGTATGTTTCTACTCCCTTGCACGAAACTACAGTTACATGAGACACAGTAGAGTATCTAAAAATCTCTCAAGGGAAGCGCAGTCGTAAGACTTTTTGGGTAGAAAAGTCAACTGCGTTTATAGCTCATAGATGGTTGAGAAAGAAAACGGAATACAATCTTAGAAGATGACAGAATACGCAAACAGTAACTTTAATGCCGTTTTTCGTCTTTTTTTTGCTCCCTCAACTATACTAACGTTGAAAGATACAAATGGCTTAGAAACGAAGATGAAAGTATAATAATAATAATTAGAAAATGTCATTTTCAAAAAAATTAAGTATGAATATTTCACAATATGAAGATTAAAACTCGTTCGATAATTCCATTAAACCTGTGTAAATAAAAATCTTTCGAACTTTTTGAGAATGCAAAAGATACCTTGTTCACCACGCTGCCACCCATGTACTCGTTTGCGTTCGAAAAAACGCGTTTGAACGCTGTT